TGCCTGGTTGGTTTTTGGTCTTGCTTTAGTCCAGTATTTTCCTCACTATGCTCCCTTTTTTCCCACTTGTACTTTTAAACATTGTTGAGACTGTGATAGACTATGGGGACTTTTGAAGTTGGACTAAATGCATTTTTGCGTTAGGTTATACCCATAAGCCAATGTGGGCCAGGGAGTGGAATGTGGCGGTTTGAATAGGTATGGCCCCCATAGACTCATGTGTTTGAATGCTTGGCCCATAAGGAGTGGCACTATATTGCTGGCTGGGGGGTCAGCCTCCAGGTAGCACAGGGCTCAAAGCAAATCCCGGCATCAGCATATACTAAGACTTCTCTGTCTGAGGGGGTTATGGAAAAAGGCATCACATGCTCTCTTGATGGTTTCCTTCTTTATTAGCCTATCCTTCTTTCTCCCTCTACTGCTTATATACCCCCAAAAAATCTTTCAGGCAATACAGGAGTCACAATGTAGTTATATTCCATTTTCCAAGTGAGTGATTATAATGAATATAGGTAAAAACATGTTTTTTGTCTCCCTTACATGATTAAAAATAGAGTCACCCCGATAACCCACATACATTACATCTAAGCAACTTGTTATAGATTAATAGAACATGAGCAAGCAAGGAGCATTTTCTTCTCAGCCAACCCTTTTGTTGACAGGCTGCACATTGCAGTTACAAAGAATCAATCACTTTATTATCTATCTTGAAAGGTAATCTTATAAGGAATTTTAATGGAGTCACAAACCTAAACTTTTATACATAAAAAGCAGTCAGTCAGCTGAACTTTGAATCATCAGGGAACACACACATTTATCAATAGTTTCTTATATCAGAAAATTGAGGTCAGGAATAGGTACAAGGAATTAATTATCACCTTTGATCATCAACCAGACCTAGCAAGGAACGTATGTCAGCTAGCAACAATTGGGGTGCTTTATATTTTCTACCCTGGCCTAAAGAATCTATTACTCAGCTATGTGTCCTGTGAACTTTAGATTGTTTTCTCGGGTTATTCATCTTAAAACTGTTATCAAAGCATCTTGTCTAACTTGAAGTTTTTTTTAAGCTTTGTTTCAGCTAATGATGCATGCCAAAACTTGTGACTGCATCTCTCAACATTAAGATTGAAGAAATTTGAGCCAGTCTAGCTCCTGGGACTAAACTGTTTTCCTTATCATTAACTTGAACTGTGACCTAATATAGCTCTTTAGGTAAAACTTGTAGGCCTTAGCTGTAAAACTCACATGTCTTAACTGTGTAACATTTCCTTGCATTTACTTTTATTCATAAAACTCTGTATAAGCTATCATTTGTAGATGTAACCAACCATCTTATTAAATAAGAAACAGAACCAATGCAAAGAAGAAAGCCAAGAGGTCAGAGCTAAGAGCTAAAACCTTACCCTTCCTCCTGCAGTGGTCCTACCTCTCTAAACCAGAGCTACTTCCTGTGTTAAAGTCTTTATATCGAGTTTCTGTTCTGCCTTCTCATTGGCTGTAAACCCAACCGCATGACCACCTCATCATGGCCTGTCTGTATAGACCTCCAGGTCTTCTATGATTGGTATTGAGATTAAAGGCGTGTGTATCCAATGCTGGCTGTCTCCCTGAACACACAGAGATTTACCTAGCTCTGCCTACCAAGTGCTGGGATTACAAGCATATGCCACCACCGCCCTGCTTTCCTATGGCTTGCTAATAACTCTGACCCCCGGGCAACTTTATTTATTAACATACAAATAACATTTTAATACAAATAAAATATCACCATAATCATTAATATGATTAATTACACAGTACAATTTCAGGAGGAATCATCTTTATGACAATCCACAGATAAAAATGCCCAATAGAATGGGATGTTTCCATGAGATAAACAGACTACATCACAGGCAGTGGGGATCTTCCCACACCCATTCACACCATGCCAGATACCAGAGAAAGATAGTCACAACAAACATGTAAAGGCACAGCAGAAGCAAAAGACATTCCAGGCATGTCTCCTGGCTTTGCCTAACCAAGGTTGACCCATCAGAGAGTTTCCTCCTTGTGGGCTGACACACCTTGAACTTCAATTGCCACCTGCTGCTCCTCTGACATGGCCACTAGCAGCACTATTAAGAGGAGTGGCCTTGTTGAGGTAGGTGTGGCCTTGTTGGAGGACGTGTGTCACTGTGGAGACAGGCGTTGAGTTCTCATATGATCAAGCTTTGGCTAGTATGGGACACAGTCTCCTTCTGCTACCTATGGATCAAGATATAGAACCCTCATCTCCTTTTCCAGCACCATGTCTGCCTGCACAGTGCCATGCTTCCCATCATGATGGTAATGAAGTAACCTCTGAAACTGTAAGGCAACCCCAACTAAATGTTTTCCTTTATGAGGGTTGCTGTGGTCATGATATCTCTTCACAGCAATAGAAACCCCAACTAAGACAAACTCCAAACTCTGCATCTCCATGTCTGATATCAAAATGCTCTTCAGATCTCCAAGTTTTTTCTCCTGCTTTGTTAACTGCAACATACTTCTTTCTCCTGGGCTAGTTCCACTCCCTGTTAGCAACTTTCCTTAGCATGTATCTGGGGTCTCCAAGGTATTCCAGGCTTCATCTTCACAGCTTCACACAATGGCCTCTCTAGGTATGTATTCAGAGACACTCCTGACACATGCCTAGCCTCAGTGGCTTTCCTCAGTAAGAGAGGGAGACTCTATAACTCTTTTTTTCCTATCCTTGACTCTAAAGCCAGAACCATGCGGCCAAAGCTTCCAAGTTCTGTTGTTTGCTAGGATTCAAACATGGCCCCCTTGTTCAATTACATTTTCATCAGCTTTCTGTTTTCAATGGTTTCCCTAACTGCCTAGACTTGGCTGTCCTGGAACTCATCTGTAGACCTGGCTGGGCTCGATAGGAATTTAGAGATCCACCTATCTCTGCCTCTGAAGTGCTGGGGTTAAAGGTGTGTACCACCACACTTGACTCTAAGCTTTTCTTTAATTCCGCTTCCCAAGTTGGAAGCTTAGGTGCATGGGGTCTTGCCTTGAGCTCACCACTGCCCTTATTCCATTCAATATCAGAATTTCCTTAATCTGTTCATCTTCTTGAACACAGCACTTAGCTCCATTCCATTTCCTGGCACCCCTTTTCTCTCCAATCTGTACATTTTGTATTTCTTCTTGCCCAGCTTGTTCCTTTTCATTATAGATCTTCATAAGAGTGAACACTAATAACTACACAACAGAGTTTATACTAGGCTGTTTTGAAATTTTCTCTGCCAAGGAAAATTTCCCCAAACTCTTCAATTTAGCCTCCAGCAGGTTTTTTGGGGTGTTTGTTTGTTTGTTTGTTTGTTTTTGTTTTTTTGGACAAGGGCAAAAAGCAGTAACACTGTTAGCTAAAATATCACAAGAATTGTCTCTAAACCACATACAAATATTCTTCTCTCCTGAAACCTCTTGAGCCAGGTCCCCTCAGCACCACTGTCTTGCATGTTCCTACTAGGATGGTCCATTAAACAGCACTTAAAGTATTCAACTGCTTTTCCAATCCAAACTCCCAAAGCCGACATTCCTCCAAACAAAAGCATGGGCAAGCCTATCACAGCAATACTCCAGTCCCTGGTAGTAACTTGTCTGAGTTAGGGTTTCTATTGCTGCAATGAAACACCATGACCAAAAAGAGAGTTGGGGAGAAAAGGGTTTATTTGGCTTACACTTCTATATTGCTATGCATTATTAGAGGAAGTCAGGACAGGAATATAAACAGGGCAGGATCCTGGAGCCAGACGCTGATGCAGAAGCTATGGAGGGGTGCTGCTAACAGGCTTGCTTCCATGGCTTGTTCAGCCTGCTTTCTTATAGAAACCCAGGACCACCAGCCTAGGGATGACACCACCCACCGTGGGCTGGGCCCTCCACCATTGATCACTAATTGAGAAAATGCCTTACAGCTGAATCTCATGGAGGCATTTCCTCAACTGAGGCTCCTTTGTCTCTCATGACTCTAGCTTATGTCAAGTTGACACACAAAACCAGCCAGTACACATCCCAATAAAAGAGTAGTTCATGGACTTGAAATAACAGACAAGTTGCTGATCCAGATGTGGTGGCACCCACTGTGGTCTTAGAGTTTAGGAGGCTGAGGCAGGAAGAGGACGGGGAGGTAGAGGGCATCCTGGCTGCACAGCTGGACCCTGTGTCTCAACACAGATCCTGTCTCAATAAGCCAAAGCACAGAACGGAACAGATTTCTGAGCAGACTCAATGAACATGACATATCACAAGAGAGCTCACAGATTGACTGACAGACACGCCCCTTCCTCTCTTCAGTGCTACTCTGCTCATGATTCAGATGCAGAGTCAGCACTTTCTCTGATGCATTTCCAAAGACCAAAAGACAGTAAAGTACATCATAAAAAGAACCCCATATTTCACAACTCCTGGTCTGGAAATTGGCAAGACCAAGACAGTGGTCTAACTCTCAGAAGGTGGGAGGAACCTCAAACTCTAACAAGTTCAAGGAATTGCCACACAGTTGTGTGGGGTCATTGCCAACAGGCAAGTCTCTTCTACTGGGGAATTTGCCCTAAGAACAGCCTATATTAAAATTTTCAACAACCAATAACCTGATTCAGTTTGAAATTGAAATTTACTGTGAGTAGTATGCCCTATTTAAGCTTGTAGAAAATTGTATAATTTATTGAGAATGATTTCTGGCTAATATTGTTCACTATCAAAAAGAATTAGCCCTTATTGAGAGAAAAATTGATTCTCTGAAGTGGTGCGTTCATATATTTGAGGTCTTATTGGTATTGTAATTAAAATACATCTTTTGTTAAAATAACCACATTTATTATTTTTACCTTAGTTTATTGGATCTTAGTAAGCTAGAACAGTTATTCATCCAACCAAAAATGAATTATACGATAATACATAAGCATGTATAGCTCTCTTTTTGTTTTGTTTTGTTTAGACGGTGTTTCACTGTGTATCCATGGTTCTTCTGGATATGACTTTGTAAACCATGATCACTTTAAGCTTATAGAGATCTGCCTGTCTTTGCTTTCAAGGTGCATCACCGACCTGGCACTCTTATTTATACAATAAGAAAACTATGTTGTTTCAGAGTAAGGTAAGCCCACACTGCTAGCATTCAGGATATACTGAATAAGGACTTCAAATGACGAGATTTAAATAAATGTCTTTTGCTATTTATAGGACATATACAAATGAAGAAGAATCAAGAGACCCTCAGTGACATGCATTTTGGGTAATTTTACAAATATATTTTTATTCCTTAGCATCATGTCAAGTGGTATTTTATTGATCAAATTATATTTGAATTGTCCCCCCAAAAAAATGTCAGTTTAAGATGGGTAAAAAACTAAACGCTGAGAACATTATTAGATGAATCGGGGCGATATTTGTCCTATCAAAAGAATTGTCCAACAAAATTTCTGCCAAATTCTGGACAATGGGTTTGCTCTTGTGTGCTGTTCGGTGATTCCTGGATAGCAGGTCTAAGTGCAGGATGCCAAGAAGAAAAGGCTCATCTGTAAGAGCATGGAAGTCAGGGGGTCTCTCAAAGGGCAAGGATACCGTCTTCCTCCTGAGGAGTGATCGCTTTGCACATAGGCTCTCCAAATACCAAGCGCGAAGAGCCTGGCTTTTAATTACAAAGTAAAATATCACTCGAGAATTGCATAATTGGTGTTTGCCTTTTGCAATGCAGTGAACATAAGGGAACCTGACATTAAATGTCTGATGTGTTGCCATGGCATCTTCTGGGATTTTGCTTTGTGCTGCTTCAAGCTGCCAGCTATGTTACATTTGAATTCCTTGAGAGTGTGTGGGGTGAGGGCAGGAAAGGAACCAGAATGCTACAGGGTTAAAGATTCTAATTCTAGGGTAACGGAGGCAGGAGGATTTCCTGGAATGCAAAGCCAGTCTGGGATATAGATTGAGACTCTGCCTCAAAAAAACAAAAACAGGAACAACAACAACAAAACAAAAACAAAAAACAAAAAATGAAAAAGAAAAAGAAAGGAAGTAAATATAGAAATAGAAGAAAAACAAAACAAAGACAAATAGGGTCTTTATTTGTTCTCATAGTACCTCCATGTTTTCCAGGACACAGAAGCTACTTAGTCAGGGAGAGATGTCTCTAGCCTGCCTTTGGAGGAAAAGAAGGGGAGTAGTCTGGGTAACATACAGTGGCAGTCAGTGCCCACCCCATTTAAAGATGTAAGTCATTGATATGGAGTGGGAGATGCCTCTGCCCGTGTGTGTGTGTGTGTGTGTGTGTGTGTGTGTGTGTGTGTGTGTGTGTGTGTGTGTGTGTCACAACTGATGGAAGGATCAATGGTAGGATTAGTGTCCCTCTGGGTCACTCTGGTCCAATACTGGCTTCAAAATGCACACTATTTGAACAGCAGGGCTGGACTTTGGATCATCTCTGCTGTCACTGTGAAAGAAAGGGAGACAGGAGAGGTAGCACACACCGAGGGCTGTAGGACTGCTGTAAACCTAAAGCCAGCTTTGGCTACATGAGCCCCTTTGTCTGAGGGTACAATAAGGACTAAAAAGGAGGTTCACTGCCTGCCGGGGTGGCTCCCTCACGTTATATTGAATCGGGTATAATCTGGGGTCAGTTCCTCTGCCCCCAAATGAATTGCTTTTAATTTCAGTGTCTTCCCACTGATCCAAAGTGACATAGATAAGCCACAGGGACAACTTGAAGTCTCTGGCATTTTCCTTGATTTTATAAATATACATAAAAATCATTACAAGTGATAAAAGATCGAGAGAAGGTCAAGACTGTTCCTCATCTCTCCCTTGGTTTTAAAATGCTTTTGATATTAAGGTGTCAAAACTGGACATGGTAGCCAACCCCTGTAATCTCAGCATTGAGCCAAGAGGATTGCCACAATTTCAAGGCCAGCCAGACAAGGGTGCATAGCTAGATCCTATCCGTAAAATAATTGCTTAGTGACTAGAGATGTAACTCACTTAGCAGAGTGCTTGCAGAGCATGCACAAAGCTGTGGTGGCGTGTGCCCAGAATCCTAGTCCTCAGCAGGAGGACTACAAGGCCATCCTCAGTAAATTCTGGGCCAACCTGGGCTACATGAGGGCATGTTTCAAAACAACATATAAAGGTCCACACTCATAGTCAATGTAGTTATTTTGAAATAAGTTCTTATTTCAAAACTACCCAGAATGCTCTTGGCTTCCTCTGTGCATACCCAGTTCCAGTTCCTCAGACAGAAAATCCAAGATCCATAAGCACATTTTATGAAATCTTAGAATTCTGATCCTAGTATTAGAATCTTTCTTGAATCATAATATTATTTGTATCTTTTTATGCCACTTTCTGTATCCTGCCTTGTTATTTATGAAATTTATGAGACTGCTATTGTTTTAAAATATGTATCAGTTTTTAGTTAGGTTTTTTTTTTTCCTTTTTCTTAAGATAGGATTCAAGTAGCTTAGGCTGGTCTTGAACTTGCTATGTAGCTAAGGATGACCTTGAAGTTTGAATCCTCCTGTCTTTACAGGTGTGCACTACCATGCCTGGTTTTATGCAACACTGAGGTCTAACTCCCAGCTTCATGTATGCTAGGCAAAGACCCTACCAACTGAGCTATATGTCCAGCCCTTAAAAAGTTTATTCTTTGAGAATTTCACACACACACACACACACACACACACACACACACAACACCTGTGTGTATACTCCTCCCAGATTTCCCACCCCATGTTCCTCTTTAAACCTCATGATCCATTTATACACACACAAACACAGTCACTCACACAAGTACATGTATATTTCCTACTTGGTCCAAAATTGGTGCTACCCAAATATATATGAGTGTGAAGCCACCCACCAGAGTATACTCAGCCTATGTGGGCCATACCCGTGAAGAAAAATGACTCTCCCTTACCCAGAAGCCATCAACTGGCAATAGATCCTCAGCTGGAGTGTGGCCTGGAGTACCATGTTGAATTGTTGGCTGTCTTGACTTCATGCAGGCCAGTTATATATGACAATGAAAGGTTATTCACACCTTGTTATGTGTCAGACACAGTGAAGTCATCATTGTGGGGATATATTGTGTACCCTAATAAAATTTGCCTGCAGATCAGAGAAACAAAGGAACAAGCCACTGCCACGTCTTATCTCAGCCTAAAAAGCCTCTAGTTTCTGCCTCCTCGGCCTTATATACCTTTCTCTGCCCAGCCATCACTTCCTGGGATTAAAGGCATGTGTGCTTCCCAGTACTAGGATTAAAGGTGTGTGCCACCACTGCCTGGCTCTGTTTTCTCTCCTAGACTGAGTCAATCTCATATAGTCCAGGGTGGCTTTGAACTCACAGAGACCCAGACAGATCTCTGCCTCCTGAGTGCTATGATTAAAGGTATGGGCCACCACTGTCTGGCCTCTATGTTTAATCTAGTGGTTTGTTCTGTTCTCTGATCTTCAGGCAAAGTTTATTGGGGTACACAATGTATCACCACACATCATGCTGACTTTTATATTCATGATGTTATTTATGTATCAGATTAAGTTTGTTTAATAACAGTGCTACTCAAACTCTTAGGTCTTACTTGCTAATGCTGCACAGCCCCTGCATAATGAAGTGTAGACTTAAACCCAAACACCCAACTAGTGAATCCATTGGACCCATTCATGGGCCCAGAGCCAACCGTGAAGCAGGGAGTTATGGTCTTGAGTGTGTGGTTGAACAAGCAGGCCATTTGTTATCTTTTCCTAAACCAATGTGACAAATCTAGCAATGTAGCCCAACATGGTAGAGCATGCCTATGTCTCAGCACTTGGGAGGTGTCAGCTGGAGTATTAGGAGTTCAGTCATCTCTAGCTTGAACTATGTGAGGACCTGTCTAGATAAATAAATAATAAATACATCTACTATACCCACCTTCAATGTACATACACAGCACAATTCTAAAAGGGTCACACAAGCCATCTTAAAAA